TTTTTTTTAATTAATATTTATTGCTTTTCCTTTTTTTTAATTAATATTTATTGCTTTTCCTATTAATATTTATTGCTTTTCCTACTTTTTTGTAGTGAGATGACCAGATGACAATTACTTTTTTGTAGTGAGATGATCTAGTCCAGCATCCTTTTCTCATGGATGCCAACTAGATGCCCCTGAAAGCTCTCTATCAGAACCTGTTTCATATGAAGAACACAAAATATAGTGCCGTACTTGTTAATTAATTCCAGGTAAATAGCCTCCTGTTGTATCAGCGCACTAGACTTTGCCATTTTCCCTTTTCCTTTCTCTTTTTTAAATAGAGTGATTAAATAGGTCATTTTCAACCAATCCTAATTTAAACATATGATGATGATGTCCAAATGATAAACAGGAGAAAATGATTGCAGCCAGATGGCATTGATTGACAGGCTGCCCAGCACAGTTAATGCATGTATCCCAGGGAAGGTACTCATAGCATCTTTGGGGACCATGATGAGTGGTCAAATGTTAATTAGGAAGGAAGTTGTTCAGACTGCTACTAATTTTGTACTCCAAAGTGATGGGAACTGCATGACTTGGTCTAGAAGGCTGGAGAAGCATGCTCTCATTCATTTCAATGGGTTTACAGTGAGTATGGGACCTGTTGGATTTAAGTCGGTTGAGTTTGTAAAATATATCCTTATTTATTTTCTTCTTCGTATAGGTAGCTAATAAATGGTTGACTGAAAGTTCACATACTAGAAGTTTCATACTGAAGGAATCTCATCAGTGTTGCAGTGAATAAATTTTATAGGTATGTGTAGTTGTTTATAGCTAAAACATCAAGATGTAAGGCACTGAATGTGTGTGATTTCATCACTAGGCCATGCCAAACAAAAGCAGCAGCAACAAAAGCTTCTTCTGTTTTTAAGCTTTAAAAACAGGCAACCCAAAAACCCTGGCCCTTCTAAGGTGTTGATGGAATTTGCCATGTTGAGATCTCCATATCAGTTCACGAGTAATTTGCATTCAGAGAAAAACCTGCCTTAACCAGTCTGCAATTATTCTACGCCTCATGAATTCAAGTTGGTCCCTGTGCATTAATTTGTCTATAAATCTTGAGTCTTTGTCACTAAAATCTTGGCATATATCTTTGCAGCAAGTTTAATTATTTAAATGGTACCATAATTTTCAAGAGCATTATCTCTAACTCTACACCACCCCTCCCTACCACAATGGCTAATTACAGCATTTCTCACCCAGTGGCACAATTCACTTTTCCATGCCTGGAGAAAAAGATCTTGCCAGAGCACAAATGGTTGTCATGAGCCGTATGCATTAAGATATATATGGCTCTGCCCCCATTGTTCCTTGGGGCATTTTGTGTTATGATGATCTAAAACTCTAATAATATACAATATCTGTTGTGGATAATAGAAATCATGGCAGATGTAGTCCTATGGGTACCAGACTCGCAAGTGAACGAAATACAGTGGTACCTCGGGTTACATACGCTTCAGGTTACATACGCTTCAGGTTACAGACTCTGCTAACCCAGAAATAGTGCTTCAGGTTAAGAACTTTGCTTCAGGATGAGAACTGAAATCGGGCTCTGGCGGCGCGGCAGCAGCAGGAGGCCCCATTAGCTAAAGTGGTGCTTCAGGTTAAGAACAGTTTCAGGTTAAGTACGGACCTCCAGAATGAATTAAGTACTTAACCTGAGGTACCACTGTAATGAAATGACATCTTCCACAGTACTGGATGGTCATGTAGAACATACACTTCTATAGCATAACATGGCTAGGAACCAACCCATCACTCACATGCCCAAGGTAATTTTGACCCAACACCAGATCTGGTTCAAAGTAACCAGAAGCCTAAATGAAGCCTATTTTCATACAACATTTCCAACAGAGAAGTAGTTTCCCTTTTCCCTTGCTCTAAGAGGAATTATATTTTAAGCTGTTTTAAAACTGTTTGGATGGTCTACAAAATGTTTTTTAAAAGAAAATAATAAATGTCACCCTATTAGACGAAGTTCACAGTTTATATCACAATCTTCATTAATTCACGTACAAATATCTTCATAATTATTGCAGTCCACAATATATTACTCCTTATGGGCAGCCAAATATAATCCATGAGAAATGGCTTTTTGACAAAGACGGTAATTATGAGGCTGTTTAGCAAGCGTTAATGAAAACGATTACATCCTTTATACATGCTCACATTAATGGTAATCTTAAGGCTCCATCATTAGTAAATGCAAATTGCTCTCACAGATGTGGTTTGTGGGTGTTTTGGTGGGTATTTGAATAAAATAACATATTTTTATGAAGTCAGATTCCAAGATAAAAAGGGATTCCATGGGAAAGAAAGAACTGTGGTAGGAGGCTCAGAAAAGTTTCACTTCCATCCAAGAGTACATTTATTATCGAGTTCTTTCTCTTCAAATCTGAAATGTGATTGTGACATTTTGTAAGAAATGGTCCTGCTTTTCATTTTAAGTGGGAGATGTGAGAAAGAATTTGCAGTGAACCAAACCTGTCAAAGAGATGCTTCCATGAACAAATAGGGTGACAATGGCCATTTATACTTGTTTTTCCTTGTGAAGAAAATGCTGGGACAGAATATGAATAAATCAAGAAACACCTGCAACCTTATCATTCATTTCATTAGACGCTATGGCTACTTATATATAAAACAATTTTCTCTCCTGAAGTATTTTCCTATCAAAACTTGAAGGGGTTTTTCCCTCCTCCTGAGTTTAACTTTTCAATAAAGTCCATTACAGATTTTCACACTGAGGTTAAAGTAGAGATGGATAAATTTGTCATTTTCAGTTTCTCAGAGTTTCTCATTTTTCTACTCTTACATTCAACCCACTATATTTTTGCATCAGTTCATGATTTATTTATTTATTTTAAGCCTACCAATATATTTTAATGGGCATTTCTCTTACTATAATATCTTACGTAGCTTTGTGTACATTACATATTTTCCTAATATATGTAATTTTGGTACATATATTTTCATTTGGGAACTGTATCACAATATCCAGAGATGTGCATTTTTTTTTATTAAAAAGTATTTTTTTCAGTTCACATTGTTTCAAGAAGTGTGAAATAGGTAGTTTTTCATTGAAATGTGAAATGAATCAAATGCAGAGGAGAGAAAAATCCTGACGTATTTTAATGAATGCATTTTTCATCAGAGCTATTCTGACTTTGGGGTGTTTCTGTATAGGGTGTCTCTTTTTATATTTCCAGTAAGAATCATGATTTTGCTGGGCACTGGTATGCTTCTGTCTTCTTCTTGGTGCCCATGAAGGAGCTTGCAGATTTATTATTGTAACCGGTGCGAAGAGCTTAGAGACTTTGTTATCTTAAACAGTATATAAGGCTGCATACATGCCATATATTTAAAACACATGGCTTCATAAAAAAATTATGGAGCTACAATTTCCAGTACCCTGAACAAATTACAGTTTCTGAAATTATTTTGGGGGAAGAGATGTGCTATATGCAGTCCACGTAATAAAAGGCAAAGGGACCCCTGACCATTGGAGAGAGCCTATATATATCCCCATGCCAAAAAGGAATCTTGGAAAAATATGTCAATCCTCAGCCAGCTCCAGTCACTGCTTCCAGCTCTACTGCTCCCTTTCCTTAAAGGTAAAGGGACCCCTGACTGTTAGGTCCAGTTGCGGACGACTCTGGGGTTGCGGCGCTCATCTCGCTTTATTGGCCGAGGGAGCCGGCATACAGCTTCCGGGTCATGTGGCCAGCATGACTGTGCAGCTTCTGGCCAACCAGAGCAGCGCATGGAAACGCCGTATACCTTCCTGCCAGAGTGGTACCTATTTATCTACTTGCACTCTGACGTGCTTTCAAACTGCTAGGTTGGAAGGAGCAGGGACCGAGCAACGGGAGCTCACTCCGTCGCAGGGATTCGAACCGCCTACCTTATGATCGGCAAGTCCTAGGCTCTGTGGTTTAACCCACAGTGCCACCCGCCTCCCGTCCACGTAATAAATAAATTGTGTTTTTAATATTTGATTGGGAGCCACCCAGAGTGGCTGGGGAAACCCAGCAGATGGGCGGGGTATATAAATTATTATCATTATTAATAAAAACATAAAATATGTGACAAGATATTTTGCATGCATATGCACTGTCCACACTACATACCACTAATTTAATTATGGGTTTTATTCCGTGTTGGTCATTCTCAGAATAGGCCTGTTGAAATTAAGGGACATGACTAATTTAGGCCCATCAATTTTGTTGGGGCTACTCTGAGGAGAACGTGGTTCTGCGTTCTAATTTAAGTATCCATAGTAAGGTTTCCTTCCACACATATATGCTTAGATTAAAGGAAGAAGGTAACAGACTATCTCTGTAGCTATAGCAATGCAGCCCAGCCCTTGTCTACTCAGAATTAGGCCCCAGTGAATTCAACTGCAACCTCAATCTTTCATCCAAATTCAATGGCATTTGTCTTTGATATCGTACCTCAGTTTTAATATAATTCCCTTATGATAAATAAAATAGAAAGGGAACATCAAAAATTGTACAACACTTATACATATGCATGGTTTAACCTTGATTTCTAGATTAGCCAAGAGCTTGCTCTGAATATCCTCTTGTGTAGTAAGAGAATTTTCATTATCACATGTCTATATACTATATAAAAAGGGAATTATTTCTCTCTTTCCCAGAGGCTGTGAGGGACTTACGGTTTTCTGGCAAAGAATCTCTTGCAATAATTTGCAAATTACCGTATTTTTCACTCTATAACACGCACCTGGCCATAACACGCACGTAGTTTTTAGAGGAGGAAAACAAGAAAAAAAATATTCTGAATCAAATGTTGTACTAAACTATTTAATAAACAACCGGTATATCAGAATCATATTACAACCATGTAAAGTGAACAGCAGTCAACAGTGGCATTAAGAACCATCATCACTGTCATTAACAAATGAAGAGAGAATTTTAGGTTCGAGTACTCTTCTAGTCTTCTGTGAACCCCAAGAACTCATCAGTGCCAGAGTCAGAATTTATGAAGTTCAGCTGCTCACAATCACTGGCATCACTTTCTTCGCTATCTTCATATAAAATGTCATCTTCTTTTGCATCCAAACCATTGCTAATGCCACATTTTTTGAATGACTGTGCAACGATTTCCTCCTTCACTGAGTGCCGTGATGTTTTCACCCATTCACAAACTTGAGTGATAGTGGGCCTCTTCATTCGTCCAGTAGGTGTCAGATCATGATTACCAGCAGCCATCCATTTGTTCCACTCTTCTCGCATAAAGACCTTAAATGGCTTGTTGATGGAAACGTCAAGAGGTTGCAACTGGCTGGTAAGACCTCCAGGAATTACAGCTAGATGAGTCTTCGCTTCTTTAAAGCACTTTTTTGTAGTTTCGCTAATATGTGCTCTAAACTGGTCCAGTACTAATAAGGCAGGTTTTTTCAAAAGCCCTCCAGGACGTTTGGACCACACTTTTTCAACCCATACTCTCATTCCATTTTTGTCCATCCATCCTTTCTCATGAACATGTACAACAATTCCTCATGGAATCACTTCTTTTGGAAATGTTTTCCTTTTGAAAATTAACATGGGTGGCAATTTGGTGCCGTCTGCACAGCAAGACAACACAACCGTGTAACGGGTTTTCTCATGTCCGGAGGTTTTCACAGCAATAGTTTTGGCACCTTTCAGATCAACAGTCCTATTAGATGGCACATCAAAGGTTAGCGGGACCTCATCCATATTCCCAATCTGGCCAATTTCAAATCCATTTCTCTTCCTAGCATCAATTACAAATTTATGAAAAGACAGAATCTTAGATTCATATTCTTCTGGCATTTTTTGTGCAATTCTAGTTTTCGTGTGCATAGCAAGGCCACATCGCTTCATAAATCTGTAGCACCATGATGGTGAGCCAGTAAAATCATGAATGCCTTTCTCTAAAGCAGTGTTTCCCAACCTTGGGTCTCCAGCTGTTTTTGGACTACAATTCCCATCATCCCTGACCATTGGTCTTGCTAGCTAGGGATGATAGGAGTTGTAGTCCAAAAACAGCTGGCAACTCAAGGGTGGGAAACACTGCTCTAAAGCAATGCGTTTGGCTTCATATATTATCATTTTTGTGGAGACTGTGAAGCCATTATTCCGGTGATGTATGATTCATTCTTTCATGGCCACGTCCAACTGTGGCCACTTTGCAGCATGTCCACGAAAAGTGTGCTTACTTTTATCTGCTTTTTGCAGCTGATCCTCCTGTTTCCTCCAATCTCTTATCATTCTTTCTGTTGGAGGTGGCCCACAATGTCTCTCTGCTGCTCTGTTTCCATGCTCCTTAGCATATTTTACTACCTCTAGTTTAAAAGGAATCTTATATACTAGTCTTCTCTGCTTTATCATCCTTATCAGAACGTGGGAGGTTTTCTGCAAGAAAATACAGTTTTCTGCAAAAAAATGATGAAGGAACTGTCAGTAATGTATGGTATCTCCAATGAAGGAAGGGGAGGGGAGCTCACATTTCTCCTAGGCAAAGCGGCTAACTCCTATAGGCCTAGGTGCCTTCACCCCCCCATTAATATTTGAGGGAGTCATCCTCCCCCCATGCTGATGGGCATTGCCATTCATATAAGGTACCAGTGTGCATGCACTTTGTCTTGAGATCATTGCAGTCTGTGAGTTGGGGCTTACCTGTACCTGCCCCCCCAATATTTTATTGAAGTTGGAAGAGGGAGGGAGGGAGGGAAGGAAGGAAGGAAGAGAGATGGAGAGCTCACACTTGTCCTAGGCAAAGCAGCCAACTCCCATGGGCCTAGGTGCCTTCACCCTCCCATTAAATATTTGATGGAGTCATCCCCCACCCCCCATTGTGGTATGTGAGGTGGGGCTTACCTGGCTGCCCCCCAATATTGTTTGAAGTTGGAAGAGGGAGGGAGGGAGGGAAGGAAGAGAGAGGGGGAACTCACATTTGTGCAGCTGCCTTGCCTCGAATGGGAGCAAAAAGAGGAGGAGGAGACGCAGGGACACGAGCCTTGTAAGCCGCTTTGTTTGAATTTACCGGTGAGGTGCTGGGGGATGGACAGAAGGGGATGCCCTCTTTGTCCCTTCTTCTGGCGTATTGTAAAGAAAGCAGAGTAAGAGGCGCTTACATGTGTGTAAGGGAGAGCCATAGAGCAGGCAGACACTGAGAAAGAGAGGCAGACACGCTGCGCTCAGCTGTTGCCGGCTTCCCAGCGACGGAGGAGGAGAGGCTGCCGAAAAGCCAGCTCCTCCCGCCTGCTCCTCCCGCCTGCATTCAGTCCATAAAGCGCACACACATTTCCCTTTATCTTTTAGGGGGGGGGACTGAGTGTTATGGTCCGAAAAGTACAGTAGGTGATGAATAATTTAAAGTGTTTAGTTGTCATTTGCTTCCATTGGAAAATGGTATGGAACTTATTCCACAGCAAAAGGCTGAGAGAGTTTCTGTATGTGCTATGCAAATATTTGAATATCCAATAGCAAAGGTAAAAAGCTGGATCTAACACTGGGCTTGGCCTTAGCTGTTCCATTCACACAAGATAGGACACTGTTTTTCACTACTCTTACATATGACCCCTTCCCCTTATGACTTCTATCTGCCCCTGAGAGTTGGGCCCCTTCTCAAATAGTACAGGATACGGCACAGAAAGCCCAGTTTCGTAGAACTCACTCCCAGCAGAAGCCAGACAGGCACCCTCTCTGCTGAGTTGCAGGCACCTGATTATTTTATTAAATAAAACAATAAAATGTCTGATATTCTAAAAATGCTACCATGTTCTTGTGTAATCGTTTGAGATTTTAAGTTTCTGCGATTTATTTTTTTTAGATTTAATTAATTTTTTTTATATTGTTTTATCTTTTTAACATTGTAAGCCACTTTGAGGCCTAGATGGTGAAAAGTGGGATATAAAATTTCCAAATAAGATACTGTAAGGGTAAGAGAAAACTGCTTTTTGACTGAGGAAGGAATATATTTCTTCTGTAATAGTCAATAAACATCTTCCAATTCAATGCAAAATTGTTCTGCTGTTGTCTTTGTTCTTCTGCCTTCAAATGATATGTCAATTTCAGCCATTAACACCAAATTCCATGCCTCTCCTAGCAATACTTTTGTGTTGTCTCCATTCTGTTGCAGAAATTATTCTTGCCACTGCTAATATATATATACAATCAACTCTTTATTGTTTCTGTCTTACTGAGCCTTTTACATAACTCAATAAAAAATAAGACTGGGTACAATCCATCATTTTTAAATTCTCCAATTTAATGTATTTAAATATGGCAGAGCATGACACAAATCCTTAAACTGCCACCACTTCAGATTTCCCTTTCTACACCTGCATTATATTAGACCCAGTAAGCACTTCTACATCATCAAAAATCTACTCAAGAAAGCATCCCATTGCAACACTAAATATACTTTCTTGTACAATTTAAGAGTCATATTTTAGACCTTGCTGTCTGAACGTTTTATTATTCAGCCTACATTTTTGTATGCTCAATTTCATCTGATTCATTCAAGTTATATGTTTAACTTGCATAACTAAGGATGGTATTGCTGGTATTTAAATTATCCAGGCCACTTAAGACATATTCATTATATAGGTCTCACAGGAGAAACAGCTTATGTTCAAATATTGTTTTAAATTACAATTACTAAACTTTTTTTTTATTTTTACAATCATTGACCACATATTTTTTTTATTATTAATATGCCGCTCTGTAGATACTCTTTAATACTTGAAAGCTTTTTAATTAGGCTAAACTGCCTGTTATATACATTTGGATACTTGAGCAAAAAGAAGGAAATGTTTAAGGAATAAATTACTGTAAGCAAAACCACAAGTGGCTGAAATGTTACAAATAATTATCTGATCATAGATGTCGACATGGCAAAAGCAGATCATGTTTATACTACATTGAATGAGGCTCTCTCTCTCTCTCTCGCTCTCTTTCCAGTATATATAGTATTTTTCCGTGTATAAGACAACCCCATGTATAAGAGGACTCCTTTTTTAAAAAATCCAAAATTAAGATATTAAGTTGTTTAGCTTTTGGGGGGTGGGGTGGGGGAGGTCACTTCCGCCAGTCGCTCACTCGCCTGCCCACCACTGCCGATCGCTTGCCACAGCCACTGCCAATCGCACACCTTGCCGCAGCCGCCAATTGTCTGCCCAATTGCTGCAGCCACAGCCAATCGCAAGCAAGCCTTGCTGCACCCACCAATCACCCGTCCAATCGCCGCTGCCAATCTCCTGCTTGCTGCTGCCATTAATCACACGTCCCCCCTCTGCATTCACTATCCATGTATAAGACGACACCCATTTTTTGCCTTTTTTTTTTAAGCAAAAAGCATCATCTTATACACGGAAACAAGCGGTCTCTCCAGCCAAAGACTGAATCACTACCTGACATAAATCTTTATTTAAACCTGTTCCTTAAAACACACACACAGACTTGACTGTGAACATTAAGTGCCCTGTGTATGCATCAGTGGGCTGTTGGACTACAGTCCATCTCTTTCTGTTTCAGTGACTCAATACTGACAGTGTTGTTCAATACTGTGGATACATCTCCTCTGGAGAACATGCTGAAACATCTAGTGATATGCTTGTTTCAAAGAAATGTCCCTAATGAACACATCCCTTCTAAGAAATCAATCTACCGTCAAGATCATTGTATCAATATGGTGCAATCAAGATGGATACCCTTGACTTAAAGAAAAGCTTGCTGGAATGGTAGAAACTTTCTTGTAGACAAAATCTCATTGGATCCCACTAGTCTAAACCGTTGTTCATTTTCCCAGTTATATTTCATTTCACTATTGCAAACTACATAGTTACGCAACTCCCATGAACGTGTGTGTTACCTGTTAGTGAGGCAGGATTCCTCAACCTGGTACCTGCCAGATATCATTTGACCAAAATTCTCATCATCCCTGACCAGTAGCCGTGTTGACTTGGGCCAATGGGAGTTAGAATCAAACATCTGAATGGCACCGCATTGGGGGAAGGTTGAAGTACAGTAAGTCATAAAGGTACTCAGCTCTGCTGCAGACTGAGGAACCATCAATTGAGGTGTTCCTGGTTTCCTCAAATGTGTGTGGGAGATGGCATTTACACAATGCACTGAATCCATTATTCCTAACATAAACATTAATCCATCAAAGTGTCATAAGTATGTTTAATTAAGAGATTGTCCTTAGTGTTGGGCAAAACTCTTCTGAGTAAAAATGGACTGGAATATAGACCATGTCTGACTGCCTCTCTCTATAGCCTAGTATTGCCTACCCAGATTGAAAATTGCCCCTATAGGGTCTGAGACAGAGCTGCAATCTCTTAAGTAGTGATACTTGGAATTGAACCAAGGACCTTCTCCATGTGAAGTTTGCGCTCTGCAACTGTACCTAGCATAAGGTTACCATACATCCCTATTTCCCAGGGACAGTCCCCGGAATACAAATCAGTCCCCTGACAAGATCCATCTATGTAGTACGAAGTTGAAAAGTGTCACCAGGTTCATTGGGGGAAAAAATCTGGTATCCTTAACCTAGCACTCTATCTCACCTGTCTTTAAATTGCTTATAAGTAATCTCTATATTCTTTGGAATAGGCACGCAGAGATAAATGGCTTACTTGGGTGGGTTTGGAGCCCACTACACTGCCTTCCTGGCAGGTGGATCACTGTTGCCAGGATCTAGGAGTCTTGGTTGACCACAAACTTGACATGAGCCAACAGTGTGAAGCGGCAGCTAAAAAAGCCAATGCAATTCTGGGCTGCATCAATAGGAGTATAGCATCTAGATCAAGGGAAGTAATAGTGCCACTGTATTCTGCTCTGGTCAGACCTCACCTGGAGTACTGTGTCCAGTTCTGGGCACCACAGTTCAAGAAGGACATTGACAAACTGGAACGTGTCCAGAGGAGGGCAACCAAAATGGTCAAAGGCCTGGAAACGATGCCTTATGAGGAACGGCTAAGGGAGCTGGGCATGTTTAGCCTGGAGAAGAGGAGGTTAAGGGGTGATATGATAGCCATGTTCAAATATATAAAAGGATGTCACATAGAGGAGGGAGAAAGGTTGTTTTCTGCTGCTCCAGAGAAGCGGACACGGAGCAATGGATCCAAACTACAAGAAAGAAGATTCCACCTAAACATTAGGAAGAACTTCCTGACAGTAAGAGCTGTTCGACAGTGGAATTTGCTGCCAAGGAGTGTGGTGGAGTCTCCTTCTTTGGAGGTCTTTAAGCAGAGGCTTGACAACCATATGTCAGGAGTGCTCTGATGGTGTTTCCTGCTTGGCAGGGGGTTGGACTCGATGGCCCTTGTGGACTCTTCCAACTCTATGATTCTATGATTCTATGATTCTATGTTGCTTAATGTGAGGTGGTAAGGAGCTCAGCACAGTGCAAGTGTGCTAGCAGCAG